GAATCGAATCACGTAGCCGGTCTTGGTCGTGCCAATCCCGGCGACCTGGGCGTCCTGAGTTGTTGGAGCGTTCATCAGCGCGGTGCGGATGTGGTTGTTGGCGGAATCTGTAGGAAGGTATCGGCCGAAGGTGTTTCCATCGCTGTTATTGTTGTCCGCTGGATCCACAAATGATCGTTGGGTGCTAATACGAACGCAGTTCAGGTCCTTGTCGGGCCGTGAGTCGGTTTGTTGGGGAGGGGCAACGTTGCCGCTGGCCGCAACTGCTGCCCATGTTCTGGACGAAGGTGCTGGTGGGAGTGCTTCGATTTGAGCTCGCATAGCTCTGATTTCCTCGTGAAGCTTCTCATTCTGTTCACGAAGGACATTCTGGTCGTGTTTGACCTCTTCGATCTCGGCCTTTGTGGATTCGATGAGTGCAGTTTGGTGGTGGATGATTGACTTCAGGCTGTCGATGAGCTTCCACACTTCCCTGGTGGTAACCCGGCCTGTGTTTTCCAATGGTGTGAAAGCACCATCGCTCCTTGTTCTTTTACGAGACTCAGGGAGCGGCTCGATCGGTACGCGAGGCTGGAAGTCCTCGACTGAGAAGCTGGTGGGGTTTTCTCCGGTGTCTGTGGGAGGGGGTTCGGGCCCTCCCGTGTGTGGGTCCACCATCGGTACGCGGTTAGCTCCCGCTCGGCACACAACCACAAGTAATGTGTTCAAGTACAGGACGGATCGAAATTAGTTTCACCACCTGCACACGGAGAATCTATCTCGGACCCTCTCCTGAAACACGCTATACTTATTACAGCTACTCTTCCCCTGAACCCCTGTCTTGGCAGTAATTCAATACACGTGTAAATAACAGCATAAAAATAACTTCTGTATTAGACCTGTATGGTTCTCAGTGTTTCTAGAACGTTGACCCTGCAAACAGGCCAAACACAGGGGTTGTCTGCTCTTCCCGTCTGGAGATGTGGCAGGAATTCGAATCCCACTCTCGTCAACCGCGCACCGCTACACTGAGCGCGGTGTATAGAGACAGTACTAGTGGGTAATATTTATTTGCTTTGTGTAGCAAGCTTGACCTTCTAATGGAAGACTAGCATTTGCTTGACTGACTGGCTGTGATCATGCTGACGTTGGATTCTTTGGAGCCTTCAGACGAAGACGATGACTACTGATTCATATCCCGATGAACGTGATTTTCAACCGCATGTACTTGAACCTGGAGACCAAGACTCGCCATATGCTCCCACTCCAGGATACTACGGTCGCACACCTGCATCAAGCTGTGGGCTCAGCCCTTCCCCCGACTATCACTCCGAGCACGATCTAGAAGACCTGTGCCAACACGAGCCCGAAAGATCCAGACTGCTTCAGCTATCCGAGTGGCACGATGGGATGCTAAGCGACGAGCTTCCGGCAAACTGCATCCAATATACAATAGAATGGAAAGTTACAGTGAATAAGAAGGTGCTCTCGCGAGACACTGAAGAGGATGTAGTCCTGACTCCGAGTGCTTATTGGCCGAAGACCCTGAAGGGTAAGCTTGAGAGGTTGTTAGAAGGAAAGATCCCCCGTAAAGGAAGGGTAAGGTCGGACGACACTTCGATCGCTGTATCGGTGAATGATCGATCCCAACGCGACCTGATGAAACGGTTTGACCATCTCGATATCGATTGGACTGCTGTTGAAAAACAGCTGTTGAAGTGGGGCGAACTGTTTTGTCGAGGCAAGAAGTTGAGGCTAAGTATGACCTTCAAATATGTTGAGGACGACTCTCTCCACAAAATCACCTCGGGTAGAGTCGAGAAAAGAGGAAGGCCATCGGTCACTAAACGAATGCTCAACGAGCCGAGACGCTCAACTGGATGCCGAAGAAAACGTGTCCGGGCAAGAATCGATATGGCGGGGTGTTTACAACCTAATGCGTTGCCCATCCTCCTCATGCCATCTCGGCCCACATTGCTGGCAAGACCCCCACGGAAAGAAGCACTATAGATTGAGGAGCCATCAATTAAAGCGTTTGATTGCCTTTGTGGAGAAAGGCGGCGCCTTGCTGTCTCATGAGGATGTCCCGGATAATTTCCGTGAGGAACTATATATGGAAGAGCGGCATAGACTGGAGAGCCAACAATCTCAGAAGAACAAGATGGTAGGCACCCCAGGAAGCTGTCAGCCTATCAACATCAACTTCAATGGGATGCAATCTTCCCCGCAACAAGACACGTCCGACCCAACCACAGCCTCAGCAGTGGTTCTGCCACCCAATGACCAAGCCATGGAAGGCCTTAATCTTACTGGGCTAAGAGATGAAGCTGTCAAAGATTACGGCGCATGGCATGAATCGAATGTTGGTGACGAGAATCTGAAAGCACAGTTTCGGCAAGCATGCAATGTGGCGTTAGCCAATGGTCTTGATCTTAGACTGATTTACGAGGACCAAGATCCCTCATTCTTCATCGGCAAAGGGATTGTGGTGGGTATTGCACGCCAATTTGTGAGAGATATTGGCCAATGGGTTAAGTGTGTAAGAAATGTCACGCTGGACGACCAAGCTACGCAGGCCGCAGCTTGACCCACATGAAGGCGTAAGAAGGCGCTCGTATACACACTAGATTGGCTTTTTAAATCACTTCTGTTTAATGCAAGTCCTTAAGTCAATGATTAAACCACAACTGCACACACAAAAGTAGAGCTGGCAGAGAATTGAGTAACCTGTAGCTGGTAGTATGTATGTATTGTATCATTGTAGGACCTAACGCCAGATCGTCTCTAACGCTACCAACTAGCCATGGGTGTCAATGACCACCCCAGAATGTCGGAAATGACCCAAGGCACTCTGTTTTCGAGATCCAACAACCTCAATGCACCGCTCGAGAAAAGTTTGAAATCCTTGTTCTGTGTCTTCTTCATACCGCACAAAGTTCCGTCTAATATATGCTTTTAACTCAGAGAAAAACTCCCCGATAGGATTTAAGTCGGGTGAGTAGGGTGGTAGATACACGAGCTTTACCCCTGCTTCGATGCACATTTCCTCGATACGATCAGAATGGTGGAAAGATGCGTTATCCATAACTAGAACGGACTTTGGTTCAGGCCATCTACCACAATGCCGAAGAAGCTGACCAATGAAGTCCTCGAAGACTGCAGCATCCGTGGAGCCCTGGAATACACGAGAGAGCAAAATCCCATCTTGGGAATATGCGGGTAGTATCTGGTACCGCTGGTCACGATGGAAGTTGGCTACCTGCAATGGCGCCATGCCTAACGGAGACCAGGCAGTCCTTCGGAACCCGATTCGCTTATCACCCAGACTGATCCACGTAGACCAAATCGTACGACTGAAAGTCTGACAGGTTATGTATGTAGAAATCTCGTAAATCCGCATTCTGTTCCTTTGCTCTCTGTCGAGCAACTTTCTTCGACCAACCCACCGAAGCAAGAGCCCGTTTGAGACTCGAATTCGTGACCTGGATGCGGAACTCATCCCATAAAAAGATAGCCATCTCGTCTACATATAGCCCATGCTTTTCGAAGAGGCGATCGCATAGTGCTTCTATCATCGGAGGTGTTACGGTCCGTCGTCGACCGACTCGAGTTGGGGGTGCTCTGACATTTCCAAACTGGTGGAGGTTGTTGCTGATGTTGATGATGGAACGCTTACTACATTCAGCAGCTTTAGCCATTTGGGAGGCAGTCAATGATTTGCTCGATATCATGTCCTGGATCATTTCGAGCTTTGAGAGAGGGAGTCTTGGCGCCATGTTCCGAGGAGAAGTCTGGACGTTATATGGAGGAGAGCGATGGCAGACGCAGTGGTCTGGTACCGCTGAGGGGCACAGGGAGCGACGCCGTCTGCTCACCCTTGCTCACCCCTCTGCTCAGTGAGCAGGTAAAATGAATTTGGGTGGAAAGTCTGGGGATGCTGGCTATTAGGAAATGCACGTAACATGGGCGATCTCGCAGTTCCTGGAAGCTTGGGGGCCCATCTCAAAGCTGCGGACCTCAAAAAAAGAGTGGTTGCTAGGCTGGAAACCATACGTTAGTTTCACCATACCAACGACAAAATGCGATCTCAGATTATCTATCGGGTACTTGAAAAAGCCGGCAGCAATAAGCTCTCGATGTGATACTGTCAAAGCATGCTTTTCACCCCGCGGGACCTGGCTGATTATCGCGTGCTGCGCTTGATCTGAGAGTTCTGACTCGGGTCGATCCGGTTCTGTCCATGAGATTTCAACCATGCGCGCGTCGTCACTTGCAACAGCCGATGCATCGTAAAGAGAGTGCTGTTTTCAATGACAGATATAAATGAATAGTCCCTGAGTGTTGCGACGTCATCTTCAAAATCGGGACCTGAATCAGAGTCAGATGTCTCCCCGTCACTGGACTTACTTGGAAATTCTGAACTTGACATATAGTTGGCCTTAGGCTGAGGCCGGATAAGGTTCTCTGGTATTCCTTGCCGATCGAAAAAGCTCATGAGAGAAAGCAACTGCGCTGCAGATGGCTTTGTTTGGCGTATATGATCAAATGATATTTGCCACGTCACCAGAATCGAGTTCTTTGCTTCCCAGTCCCGGTAGGGGTGACCGGCCTCTTTTTTCAGAAGCTTTGTTGCTTCACGGTCACTCCCTAGGAAATCTTTCAAGTATTGTGATACCGAAGACCGGGGCGCCCGATTTCGAGTATAGCTAGCGGCCTGTACGATCGCTAGCGGCATGGGCTCTAACGCGTTCACTAATTGTCGACTCTCTTGGCTCTCTCCTGGTTGTTCAAGCTTTCTTTGGAGAAGCTCTAGTGCTTCGGACTGTTCCATGGGTTTAACCTCAATAAGGTCGCTGTGATGGACCATCTTCAACGCAACCTGTCTAGTACAGCTCGTGATGATGATAGACCCATTTTGGATTCTAGGAACGTATAGTAAGAGTGGTTTTGTTGAGGCATTCGTTGAGCCGCTCATCGGATCTCCCTTGCCTGCCACCGGAACCGAGTAAAGAAGCTGATCGTCATCGATATTATCAAGGATACAAACCCGATTTCCTATCTTTTCATCCCGGAGCCAGTTTTCGACCAGTTTGAATATGTTAACTTTAGCATCTTGGCGACCCGGGATTTTAACCTGGTCCGCGATGTCCCGGAAACTTTGCTCAAATCGGGCTTCATTACTCGCATGGACCCAGAAAACCCACGTTGCCGGTGATTTGGATCGGACTTGGTAGGAGTATTCGATCGCAAGTTGCGATTTTCTTCGAGTTATCAGCAATAGACCACGTAAGAGCCTCAATACCCTTACCCAACACCGCCGAGGCCAATCAGCGCTATCCTCGACCCCGCGCACCGCGTTGATGAACGCTCCAACAACTCAGGACGCCCAGGTCGCCGGGATTGGCACGACCAAGACCGGCTACGTGATTCGATTC